CGCTGACCCTCTCGTCGCTGGCCAAGAGACCCTGGGGGGGTTTTATTCCTCCCCTTTTCTTGCGGCCGACCCCTCGGCCGCCTGGGAGAGTTAGCCTTCCTCTCCTTAAAGTACCGGTCCATATCGCGTCGCAGGGTCGCAATCTGCGACGACAGATCCTCAATGCGGTCTGTCGCCTGCGTTGCAGCGATTGTGGGCCGGTCCTCGGGTCTCTTGGCCGGGGCTTTAACCGGTGACTCGGGTTGCAGCTGTTCCCTACCTCGAGGCTTGTTGGACATGGCCGCCGTTCGGGGTCCTGCCCGGGGCGGTGGTGCCTTAGCTGACACACCCATGTGCTCGGGGTACAACGTGGACGTTGGCTCCAGCCTGGTCCTCGGGCGCTCGTCGTCCCGCAAAGCGGTCTCGATCTCAGTCGCCCGGGCGTGGAATTCGTCCACGTTGGAGAACGCGTTCCTCCGCAGCTGCATCCGGATGGCGGGTAGGAGATTTGCATACAACAAATCTAACTGCCTCTGCTCTGGTAACGGCGGGCGTAGTGGGCTAACATGAAGAGGAGGTGGCAGGCATATTCTCGCACCAGCTCTCCCTTCTCCTGGTATCGGGCTTGGGCCTCTTGCAGCAATCTTTGTTGCTGCAGCTCACTCGACCCAAACCAACGTCGAGCGCCTGCCACGAAGTCGGCGTAACTTCTCCACTTGAACTTGTTAAGCTCGTACCAGGTCCTCGCAACACCTTCGAGGAGCTCTGATACCGAGCACAAGATTTCGCCGTCTGTTAGCCCAGAGCCCGCGCGTAGATCCTCCAGTCTCGACAAGAAGGTGTCTACGCACTCTGAAGCCGTGCCAGAGTATCGCAGCTTCCATCCTCGGACAATCCTACCCGCGTCCCGAGTCGCATAGTACCCCGACGCCGCATTAGCGTCATACCAGGCGGATCCTTCCGGGATCGCCTGATCTTCACCTATGTCGGCGTCTCTTGGTCCTCTCCTTGGTGGCTGTTCCGTCCTTGAAGGCACCTGCCTTTGGGAAGCCTCTCGAGGTTCGCCAGGGGTCGGTCGCTGGGGTTCCGGGGTACTTCCTGGTACCCTTGGGTCGTAGTGACACGTGTACGTGGATTGGAAGTCCACGGTTCTCCTGGGCCACTCTGGTATGACCGTTCGTCGATTGGTGGGGTCCCTGTTCCTTAACTGCTGGACCTCCACCTGCAGAGCGGTCACCTGGTCACTCCACCGCGCGCATACCTGGTCGTGTCTTTCCAGCATCTCTAATATGCGGTTTATCCCGACCCGGTTGCGCTCTATCTCTTCCTTTAGTCGTTCGGTCACGCACCGCTCTTCCTCTTCTTCTTGAGGTTGTAGCTCCGCGTTCTCAAAACGACGAGCTCTTCGCCTATCCGGCGATCCGGTGGAGCCCTTGTGCTCACTACTGACCCCCTCCGTGGGCCCCTTGACCTCGCCGGTCCCCCCTTCCTCTGCGGGCTCTCGCTCCCCCATCTCGCTCTGACTCTCCTCTTCTAAGTTGTCGTAGACCGCGAGAGTCCGCGTCAGGTTCGCCTCTACCACCTCATCCCTGTATAGCAGCATGAGTGGGTGGGCGACAAGATCTTCTGCATCGGCTGCTTCTAATTCTTGTCGCCTGGACTCCAGCCACCTCTCTCGGCTCCTTCGCCTGCGTTGTGTGGCCTCCCTATCCAACGCCGCTCCTTGGAAGTCTAGGTCGATATATTCGCCTAGCAACCAATATGCTAATCGAACTGTCTGCATCAGCTTGGGACCGTCTGTACGCAACTCCAGTTGCGTCAGGTATCTGTCCAGCTGTGTCGAAGTCAGTTCCGAAGCCCACCGGGTTATCGCGTCGGCGGTATCCTCCATGTCGCTTATGCTGGGGCGTAGGTGACGGTTGAGGTTAATTTCCCTAGTCGACCACTACCGACTCCTATCGCCCAAGGCGCGAGCGGGGTGTTGCGATTTTTATCGCCAACTACCCAATTACACCTTTAATTGCAAGGCAACTATACACGTGGCTTGTGGGTGTGTGCAGGTGCCGCGTATTCTAAGGAAGTACGAACTTCCACTTCGCAACTACCTGCCTATAGGTGGAGGCTAACTGTTTGTTAGCTCCACCGGGTTAGTTAATCTAACCCTACACACACCCCAATTGCGCGCTCTGCTGGTACTGTCGCTCGGTGACTAACCCCCACTGAAATACTTTAATGTGTATTTAAACACTTAAAAAAGCAAAAAGTTAACCAAAATACGATTAGTCACCTTTTTTTATTCGCGTTAGAGCGATTCCTGACGTCTCTTCGACCCCTGGGGTTAGTGTGCTCTCGGCTCACAAAAGCAGGTGTTATTGGGTCGGAGAGGCGTCTTTCCCCTACCGCAGAGCACGTACCGAACAAGCCACGCGTTATTTTACCCGCTCGCACCTTATTACGCAAGCGCGCAAACGTCTCTCTCTCCCGCGCGTCGCTCTCTCTTTTTGTGCAATTTGCCTCGTGTGTGAGTCCGAATTTAGTTGGGCACCATGTAACAGGCTGCCGTTTAGTCGACAATCTCTTGAAAGTACCTTTATTACGACTAGACGACGCCTTGTTATCTCTGTGCTCAAAGCACAGCAACCTACCTTGTCTCGGAGTGCGCCTGCGCAGAGCCTCCTTACTATTCCGAGTTGGGTTCCCCCAACTCGCCGCTTGGCGGCGCTGTCGCCCTTACTAGTAGCGCTAGTGCGGCCACCGCTGGAACCCAAGTTGAAGATTCCCGCCTATCGCTATTTTCGTGATTCGTGCTACGCTACCGGCGAATTCGAATCTACTGTAAACAAATACTGACGCGACCTCCGGACAAAGGAATGACACAATAACGATTACTTGATTTAATAAAGGCTAACGTTCACTTTATTAATGCAATTTAATTACACGAGGGTTTTGCCGAGAGACTTACGCACGCTTGCGCGAATGACAACACACGCAGATTGAGAGAGAGAGAAAACCGCGATTACCGCGAACTAACCGCTCGCACGTAACAACTAATTTTCCTCGCGCACGCTGCGCGGGATCGCACGTAAATTACAACGGTAAAAAGGGGAAGGTGCACCTACCGCGAGAACGATGAGGATACGGTGGCCAACCGTATCCGAATAGCAAATCGCTGAAACGCCGCTTCGCTGCTCGCCGCACCGCCGCGATTACTGTTGCTGCTGTAGTTGTTGCTGCTGTCGCTGCTACTACTGTTGTTGCTGCTGCTGTTGCTGCACTTACTGCTGCTACCCCTGCTGCTGCTGCTGCACTCAGCACACCGCACCAAAGTTCGCAATGTCACCAGGAAAACGCACGGAAACTTCGAAGGGCTCGGGAACAGGTTAGACGCACGATATAAGCGGACTGAGTAACACAGTCATACTGCCGGTCGGAGCCTCCCCTCCCGGTCATTGCCCCTACACGCTCTCTCTCTCTCTCGCGAACCGAACGCGGCTCCTCTCGTTTAGCCGCTCATTAACCTCGCGCGAGTCTGACGATTTTCGGTAATCGTTGCAAAGCTTTGCTTTTACAATTTTTCAAATTTTCTAAAACTCTACACGGTTAAATATAATGCAGGATATTTAATGTGTCTACCTAATTTTATTCAAGGAATTTATTATATTTTTCACGAATACACATACTTCAAGGTTCAGCATGAAAGAAAATCGTCAAAAATTAGTGTTTTTTTCGTTTTTTTATGTGACCACATTTTTATTAAGATATTTATAAAAAACATAAATAAGCTCTATAACTTTTCAACCGATATTCTATTAAATTTCATTATTCTCATAAATAATTAGTTTCTTTTACGAAAATGAAGATCGTTCACCAAAACCTGTTAAAACATCGTTTAAACGATAAGAAACCCGAATTTTATTAAAATAGTTTTCTTTCAACGAGCAGATCTCGTCAAAATAACTACATAATAAACTTTCTTCAAAATATTTAATTAGTTCTTATTTTATATAATTTTATTTAAGTAATGCAATGGTAGTCGATTCGATTAATCGATTCATTTGCGATTCGTGCACTCGCGATGTTAATTCGAACGACTGAGAGAGATAGAGGGGCGCGCGAGGGTTTGAATATTTCGTTAAGCCTCAGCTGCTTTCGCGAGAATACCGCCAGTTTAGTTTTTGCACTGTGTTTCGCCGTTATTTGTTGAAAATTTCTTGGATTTATTAATACGTGCGAGTGCAACGAGGAAGCTAAGCAACAGCAGCCTTATAGTAGCAGCAAGCAGTAGAATTTCAGCAGCAGCAAGCAGCAGCAGATATTAGTATCGAGGCAGCGCAACTGATTGATCCAAGGAGCACCGTTGAATTTCTTCAACAATTATGGCTGATCACCGTAATTGCACCGCAGGGTAGGTGCACCTCCCTTTATTATTGCGCGACAAAATACTTTCGAAAGTATTTGGTCAATCGTGAGCGTAATTTTTGTATTCGCGCTGAGCGTTAGATTTCGCGGCAATTTTCGAATTCCCTCTCTCTCTCACCGAATTATAATCTATAATATTAAATCCTATTCGCGTGCGTTAGTCTTTCGGTCCACAAAAGACTGTAGTTTTTTATTAATTCAACTTTGTTAATTTTATTCGCCGTTTACGTCATTTCGTTTCCTATTAGCTTAATAGATCTATAAAGGCTTAAGTCTTAATCTGATTTCGGCTAGGGGATTAGGCGGATTATGCATTAAGTCATTCATACTGAAGATACTTAGATCGAGTGTCACAAGTCAAGTGACTTAAGATGAGTTCAACTCGGTTGGAAAGAAGACACTGAAATGAAATCATCAAACGTAAAGGCGAATACACGTATAACTATACGTATTTAACGGAGCGGCGGTTAGCTCTGCATCGTGAGAGTTTATACGTTAATAAATTTCTCATTTTTGTAGAATAACCACCCCGTTACAGTAACTAATGAAAAGATTAACAACAGTAATAAACTGATTTGAATGAACAGTAAATATAAATTTACCTTTTTGTAGCATGTTTGGTGCAAGCAAAAAGTTTGGCTGGCATACGTTGTCGGTCATCACTTCTAACGCGCTCAATGCAAAATTCTTCAGCGGGAATGCGCTGGCCGCTAAGCAATAGGCTTGCATCGGGCTGTAATTGAGCTTCCTTCAATTCTCCAACGATAGTAAAGTTGTCAAGATGCTGGCACACCGGAAAACCCCTAACCAACTCCATACCAACACTTAAATTCACGTTGGTACTGTGACTGCTTAGCAATAAAATCTTCTCTTCTTCCAAGGACTCTGACTGTTTCGACTCAATTTCCACGCACGAGTTCCTGTAAGAAACAATGTTTAAATTCTATTTTCTTTTAACAGCAGCTCGAATTTGTCTATTTTTTATTATGGTGGTACTTTAATAAATTCAAAATTTCTCCCATCCCAACACGTCTTTCAAAAAAAGTAAAATTGAACCGTGAGTAGGCTGAAGATGACTGTACGTAGTAACCAAATCAATTTTAGCTGTACGTAAGTATACGGAGAATAAGTTCACGGGAAAAATTACGGTGATGGTAGCGTAATTTTTCCAGGAACATAGAAACTGTACCACTAATATTTACAAAGAGACTCCAATATTATTTACGATGACAAAACGTAATTTTTATATCTTTGAAAATTTACGGGGAAAATTTCACAAAATTTCTAAGGACTCATAATTTTTATGGTATAGTCACCGTAATCTTTACGGTGACAATTACGAAATTATGCTCCCTATCAATCAATATGTGCAGCACAGTACGCATTGTGCACCGTGTAGTTAGCTTCTACCCATGAGAAAAAAGTTCTCTGGAAGAATTATAGCGTTAATTCCATAAAGAGGGGGCATAAAAATAGTACAAGTAATTTTTACAGATCACAATTATTATATTGTATAATAAGGACTCATTTTTAATTTTACCTGTATTATTTTACAGTGCGATGATGGTCATGTAATTTTCCTGGGCCACTTCAGATTCGTAATCACAATAGAAAGTGCGCCATCGTTTGGACATGCGCAGTCAACGCGTCGACATTCCTAAAATATTTAATTTTGTAATGTTATCAATTGCTTACTGTCTACCGAGCACCAGCACCAATATAATTATCTTTAGTTTGTCAACCTAAAAAAATAAAAAAATAGTACGAAAAGTCAGCGCGATGACTGCACATTTTCAGACGATTGTTCGCTTTCCATTATATTTACGAATCCGAAATGGAACGTACTCCCTTTACTTTCTGTAGTCGAGAATCACGTGACTAACCACTACAATTCAATCTTTATTGTAACTTGAGCATACTGTTGAGCGAGCAATTTCTCTAATTCCTGCATGTATGTAATGTATTGCAACGGTAGTCGATTCAAACAATCGATACGTTCGCGATTCGACATACTCGAAGTGCGAGAGCGAATATTTAGGAGAGAGAGAGAGGGCGCACGCGAGTTTAATTTTCAGTATAGCCTTAACTGTTGTTTGGAAAACTGCCAAATTTTCACCTTGTTTTTCTTTGCCGTTCGCCGAGTTAAAGTTTTGGGTTTTATTTTATTACGTGCGTGGGTGATATTGAGGAGCGAGGAAAAAGCAACTGAGCCAAGAGCAGCGAGGAACTGGACGAGCAGCAACCGATCTGGTAGCTAAGGCAGAATCGTCGTAGCATCACCCGGGAGAAGTTGTTTGCCAACAGCAATTACGGTTAATCACCGTAATTGCACCGCAGGGTAGGTGCACCACCCTTTTTCCGCGTGACGGTATTATTCCTCACTTAAATTCGCAAGCAACCGTTATCGCATTCGCGTCGAGCGTTATAGTTCGCGGTAGAATTTCGAATTCTCTCTCTCTCTCTCTCTCTCTCTCTCTCTCTCTCTCTCTCTCTCTCTCTCTCTCTCCCAGGATAAATGTAAATCTTATACGCGTGCGTATATATATTATTTTATATATTATATCTTATTTCGGCCCACAAAAGACTGTAACTTTTATTCTTATAAAAGGCTAGACTTTTATTTGCCGCATTACGTTCTTTCGTTTCCCTTTAATTTAACGGATCCGTCACCTGATATCTTTTAAACCGATTTTGTCTAGGGAATAGTGAAAATAAACATTAGTCTACGTACACCTAAGATAAAGCAAGTGTCACAAGTCAGGTAACTTAAGGTGAGTTCAACTCTATTGGAAAGAAGAAATTGGAGCGAAAGTATCAATCGTAAAGGCGAATACACGTATACTCATACGTGATTAACGGAGCGGCGGTTAGCTCTGCATCATGAGAAATTGTGCTTTGACAAACCCTAATTGCATCAGTTAATCCACCACGTTACAGTATATAATATTTGATAGTAAAACATAAAAGTATCTTTGATATCTTATTAATTTTGTCCTACATTATAGTTAATTATCCACTACTGGAAAAAATTAAGGGAACAGAAAAATTACAAATTTTTCGGCGATTTTCGAAGAGTTGTATCAAATGAAAAAAAGAATTTTTGAGTTTAAAGTTTCTAGTATTAAGATTATTCAGTCAACATTTTTCATCTACTACGTTACTGCACAATCCTAAGGAAAAGAGCAAGAACAAAATTTCTTTTTTTGAGACCACAGACTGCTGAAAATTATTTTCTTTCAAACGAACTCAAATTTAAGTTAGCTTATTTATTGAGCTTCAATTTAATTTTGTACTCATCTCTCTATATCAATTTATCACTGATTATGAGATATTGAACTTTAAATGAAAAATAGTCCTTATTCCTTCAATCATCAATATCTCAAAAACCAATAATTATCACACAGCAAATAAAGAAATTGTTCTAAATACTGGAATAAATTTCCTACAAAATCCACTCATTGTTTATTAAAAAATATTTTTTCTCAATCTTCGAGATTAGTTTGAAAAAAAGACGAAAAATAGTTTTTTAGGTTAATTTAGAAAACCTACCTCAACCTGGCAATCGTTGCGAAAAGTACCAATATTTATAGATTTTTTAGCTTAATAAATACCTCAAAACCTTGCCACTTTTCAAAGCGACCGATCATGCTGTTTCATCAAACTTTTGAAAAGAATTGAAGGAACTCGTTTTTGTTCCTTAAAAGTCAATAAATGATAATAACGACTAAAGAAATTTTATTTTTCCAAAATTGCTTACGAAATTTGAAAAAAAATATTGTGTTATATTTTTAGTTAAGAAACAAAACTTCTAAATTTTCTGTAAAACCGTTAGCCCGCCACTCAATTTTTACAATCAAAAAAATTTTTTTTCAACTGAACTGAGCTCAACCATCAGGTTGAATCACTTGTGACTGTCGGTATAAATTCAATGCTTGATAGCTGTTTTTCATGACAAATTGAAGTCCGACAAAAAAATATTACATACAATTTTGTCATGTTTTTTTCCCGTAGAATCGATTTCCGCAATCAGATTTGTAATACAATAATTTTTTTGGTAATTTGTTCAAATAACTTTTTATAAACAATTGCAAATGGCAAAAGAAAAAACACGGGTATTTTTTTTTTCGATTTGCCTATGAATGGCATAGTTAGTTTTTCGCTAACTAGCGTAGATTTAGCTTAGGATTTGGCGAAGAAACTTTGACTGTCGGAGCCGCAATTATTTATTGCCGTTTTACACTAACAAATTGACGTCCGGTAAAAAAATGTTACATACATTTTTTTCATGCTTTTCCCGTAGAATCGATTTCCGCAATCAGATTCGTAAAACAATGACTTTTTTGGTAATTTGTTTAAATAACTTTTTATAAACAATTGCAAATGGCAAAAGAAAAAACACGGGTATTTTTTTTTTTCGATTTGCCTATGAATCGCATAGATAGTTTGACGCTATCTCCTTCAGTTTTGGCCTGGACCTTAACGGGTTAATTAAAAAAATTAATACCTCCGAACTATACCCACTACTCGACCTATGGTATTTATGCGAATGATTTTGTTGCTTTGCAAAACAATTTGACTTTAAATAAACAGTACTTTTCCTCATTTTTACAAAGTTTAGAAAATACACTCCTCGACAAAATTAAGGGAACAAAAAAATTTGTTAAATTTTTGGTTGATTTTCAACGGGCGGTATTTCAGTGAGAAATGGTCGTACAGGAAATAAAAAAATAAAGCTGTTGAAGCTTGAAGACTCTAGTTTTTAGTTTCTTTGGTTAAAAATTTTTTAGAGCTCCGTATTTCATGCAATCCTTATACAAAGCGCAAAAAAAATTTTATCCAAATTTTTTACATTTTGTTTCTTACTCTACGGGCATGGAAAAATTTGTTCGAGCTAGGTCAATACATAGGTCTTTTAACCTGTTTATTCAGCTTCACGCTGCTTTTCGCGGAGCTCAATTACGATCATTTGTCTCCGAGATATCGAACTTTGAATGCAAAAGGATCCTGAATGCAAACGGTCATCAATGGCTAGAGAACAATATTTTATAGTTAGTGGAAAAATTTTTTTTTTGATTTTTGAAAAATGTTTTTTTGATTTTTGAAAAAAAAATGTTTTTTTTTCCAATTTTTTTCAAAATTAATCGTAAACAGACACAAAATTGTGTAAACAGACGAAAAAAAAATGAAATTTTTTGATTTTTAAAAAGTTTGCTTCAAGTTAAGGAATAAAAACCTTGTTCCTTTAATTTTTTATAAATTTTGATCAATTGGTCCGGAAAAACCGCTGAACCGATCGCTCCAAAAATTTAGGGGGTTCTTTGGGGGACATTAGACTGTAAAATTTCTCTTTAACCGTACCTTTTCCGCCCATATTACTGAAGATACAGTCAAGTAACCAAAAAAGGGGAAACTGTCACTTTTTTTCACTTTTTTCAATTCAATGTTAGAGGTGGAAAATAATTTTTCTCTTTACTAACGTTTGACTGTATTTCATCGGAAATTTTATGTGAAATTCGGTGTCCGCTCGCTGTGCGACCAGTAGTTCCAGAGATATCGAATTTTGAATGCAAAAGGATCCTTTTGCAGCGTGAAGCTGAATATACAGGCTAAAAGACCTATGTATTGGCGTAGCTCGAACAAATTTTTCCATGCCCGTAGAGTAAGAAACAAAATGTAAAAAATTTGGATAAAATTTTTTTTGCGCTTTGTATAAGGATTGCATGAAATACGGAGCTCTAAAAAATTTTTAACCAAAGAAACTAAAAACTAGAGTCTTCAAGCTTCAACAGCTTTATTTTCTTATTTCCTGTACGACCATTTCTCACTGAAATACCGCCTGTTGAAAATCAACCAAAAATTTAACAAATTTTTTTGTTCCCTTAATTTTGTCGAGGAGTGTAGTTTGATCATAAACGACGAA